CTCTGAATCAAACTTATAACTCAGCTGTGTATATCCTGCAGAACCATGCATCGACCAGAACTACTCACCTGCAGTGCACTGTTGAGAAAGCAGCTATTCTGCCCAGGCGCATTCATCAGTCCCTTACTTGCTGCAATAGAAGTCGTGCTCCGTGGCAAGAACATACCCTGAACGTTATTGTTTGGTGTGAAATAGCCCTTCCTCCAGGACATCCTGGCTGACGTCTTTTAGAATCTGATATTGTGTTCTAGAGCAGACTCGCCTTTTTTATCAACATTTAACCAAAAGCAAAAATATCATCTCACATTGAATCACAAAAGGGAAGCTTAGCGTTGATCAGGCAGTCCCTCAGGGGGCCATTAAAAATCACAGCAGGGAGGAAACATTCAACAGTCACTACTTGCAATTCCATGATGAAACTATAGTTCAAAAGCAAACTCCAAGCCAATGTTTCCTTTTGTACAGCACAAGTTTTAAAACAGTATCTCACACAGCTTCAATCGTTCTGGAGCAACTTGTTCCAAATCTCTGTGCAGCGAGGTACAAGGAGTTGCTCAAGTCCTGAATTCAACCATAGATTTGTGGACTCGCAGAACTGGAAGTCAGCTTTCACAATATCAGAGTGGAATTTCTTCACTTGGACTCTTCAGGGGATATTTCCATCACTTGGTGATAATTGAAAACGCAGAGACAGTCATAGTTTTAAAGAACTCGGCTTTCAATACAATTCTTCAAATATTGTAAACCCAGTACCATACGAAGATCTTTTAAAAACCCAAACACGCCAGTTTCTGCCAGAACATTTTGAAGCATTGCGTCATGTACTCATTTGTTAGTGTTCTGCCAAACATTCTCGCTCGCCTTTGATTAAGCTTCCTTGATAAGATGGCTATTAACTCATTGTTTTGAACCTGTAGCCACAATCTCCACAGTACATCTTAATCCTTTTCTAGATCATTAATCAAGTATTTGAATGTTTATATGGGCCATGTCAGCGTCCTCTGACCAGATTTGCTTCCCCAGTGGAATCTGCTCATCTGCTAAACTGCTTGGATCAGCTGCTTTTCATTTGACAACGATCTGTAAACAGAAAAGGAAAAAAAATTACATTGTTTCCTATCGGTGACGTTTATAGCTCAGTGATTGTAAAACTTGGTTTATTTAACTTCAGCAGTTTGCATAGACACTGGGGTACAATATATGAAACGTATTATCAGACTGCGTACATCCATTAGCATTATGCTGCAGCTTCCATGAAGCATGTCACACTATCAGAAAACAAAATCAATTTTTACAAAATCTAACTTAATGTCTTCAAGATAACAGCAATTCATTTATCCAAATGAAAATAAACCAGTGAATTGCTCACACTTCCTTAAAGCATGTCAGCCTTTACAGCAAACAATTGACGCTTTAAACATAATGACAAACACCAGCAACAGACAGCAAGTCACACCGTAATGAGGTCATCCGTAATATTTGACTACAGCAGTTGTACTGTGAATACTTGCCCAAAGCACTCAACATACTTAGTAACACCAGATAAAATTTGCTGAAGAAACAGGACTGCATTTAAATATCAAGGCAAAACATTCCTGTCAACATAAATACTTGTGTGCATTGATGGCATATGGAATCAATTACCAAGAGCCAGAACACAGTAATGGGAGACAACTAAACATGGCTCGTCATTATCTTCATATTACTGTAACTGCGTCATTTTCATCACATATGTCAGCTTAGCCTCCTTATACTGTTACCTCAATAACTTCTCTCAGCCATTTGCACTCAATTCTGAGCAAGTTAAAGCAAGATGAAACTGAACAATGTTTCGTATTTAATAAAAGATTTTTTCAAAAAAGTAGTCAGACAATACTCATTCTAACTAGTCTGCTCCTGATAAATTTTGTCTTTGCTTAATTTAAATTTATAGATAACGTCAGCATAACAATGTCAATAACATTATAAAATGAGAATTGTGTTTATAAACTGACATCATACATTATGAAAGAAGCAACCATGAATTAAGATCAGACTGTACTTTGCATTTTATTTTCCACTGATGTTAGCAACAAAAACACCTTTGATTACTGTTATGAAAATTGGATAAACACATACAGCATTTTCAGCTTGAAGGCTATCATTGGCAGTGTAATTGAATTCAAGTTGAAAACAATTCTCCAGAGTGTTTTTCCCCCAAGACGATGCATCACAGATCCCAGGAGTTTAAGAAGAACTTGACTCAATTTGTCCTCCATTTTTCACCAATTCAAACATGATGAATTTAAAATGAATATTCTCACTTTGTACCCATCTTTGTAGCAATGGTGAAAGATCATTAATCCAGTCATAATTGCATGCTATGCTTTGATCCTGTGTATCGAGCAAATAACTGAAATATCTTCAATGTGAAATTAAGAAATGGGACAAAGTAACTGACTACCTTCCTATCCTCAAGCGATTTCAGTAGCTGGAATGAGGCATTTGAAACCAGATTTAGTAGATCTAAAGCTGTTTCTGTTTTAACAGCTTTTACGTACACATGAAAGCCACGCGTTGGGAGAATATGAATCACCAAACAGGATGCAACTTGCCCAAAAATATTGGTCAGCAAGGAGGTTTATAATTCTTGTGCATGAAACTAAAGTGACTTTTCTTTTGTTTACAAATTACATTTTAAAATTGAACATATTTCAACTTTGCTGCATAGCTAACATAATGCAATAGATTCAACTGGATTGTTTAGGAGGAATACTGACACAACAGGAGGCCATTCAACCCTTCAAACTGATTTTGATATTCAGTCAGTTCATGGCTGACCTGTACATTATTTCTTGATGATCAAGCAAGATTTCCCTTTTGTAAATCCATGCTGGATCTGCCTGATCTTGTCAATATTTTCTAAGTGCTCTGCAATTCAATCTTTTATATGGACTCTCATTTGCCCCACTGCCAATGTCAGGTTAACCAGTCTATAATTCATTGTTATCTCTCCACCTCCCTTTTTAAAAAATCATGGGTTTACATTAACTACTCTCCAATCTATAGGAACAGTTCCACCAATGGAATCTTGGAAGATGATCACCAATGCACACACTATGTCCACAACCATTTGCTTAAGTACTCTGGGTTATAGGTTATCAGGCCCTGAGAATTTATCAGCCTTTAAACATCAATTTCCCACAACACCATTTTCCTACAAATACCGATTTCTTTCAGTTATTCCTCCTCAATAGACCTGGTGAACCCCAACATTTTTGGGACACGATTTTGTGTCCTCCTTTGAGCAAGAAAGGACCAATATACTTAATTACAATTACAGCCAATAAAGCACACGGAGATAGTAAGAACTGCAGGTGTTGGAGTCAGAGATAACACTGGAGCTGGAGGAACACAGCAGGCCAGGCAGCATCAAAGTACCAGGATAAAGCACGGGCATATTTAAAATCAAAATACAGACTGTTGTAGGAAAAGTTCAACGGAGCAATTCCCAGCATGGGTTAAGGTTTTGATCACATTCCTTCCTTAAAACAGCTTCAGGGACAGCTTCTACATGGCTTCCTTTCAAAGTACTCCATGACACAGGTCACATTTAGGACATTATGGTACCGACAGTATTTTGCTTCTAAGTCTGCCAGTTTGGGAGGATAAAATCCTTTGCCACATGGTTCCCCAAGCTATGTAAGCCATTACACAAAAGCAAGTTTGTTGCTTCTACTGAACCTTTGGTTAGAATACTGTTTTGTGGTTCAGCACATTACTGTCTTACAGAGATGATTAAATATTACTTCAAATATTTTGAACAAACTTTGTAAACTCAATTTTATACCATGTCAGTTTGGATATTTATTGAGAATTTGCCAACTTCTTTCTACCTTTCATTCAAGTTGCTCGTCTTATCTGATCATCTGACTGTGCATTAAAGATTCTACAGCACTATTTGTTTTTAACTAGGTCTTTTGAGTACTGTTTATTTGCCGTAGCAAGACTAACAAACAGTGACTTCCCACTGCAGCACTATTACATAAATTTCCCTGACATTGTGTTTTAGAATTGCACCCTGGCCAAATTATCACAACGAGTTGTACACGTATAAAATGGCAAAGCTTAAAGGTGTGGCTTGTTTACAAGATCAGCTAGCTGCTTCGGAGCCATATATTTAAGACACACTCCCATACCTCAGATTAAAATGTAAGTGTAGTTTACTGAAAACTTGATGTTGATGACATAATAGGGGGTTACAAAAATGCAAAGTCATTATTTTCTTCCAGTTAAAATCACTGGATAGGGATTAGAAACACAAATTAGCTGTTCGTGCTGCTTTCACCTGAACGCAAAGTGAATTTGAGAGTCTCAGTTAAAGTCAATTTTATCAAAACCCAGACCAGAAATGTGAGCCAATTCCTTTGTATTCTACACTACACAGTGCCACTTCACAATTTATCACATGGTGAGCTGGATGTCGCATCTGAGAATCAGCCCATCATGCCTGCGTCACCATCTGAAAAAACAGCTCAGCTAGTCTCCCTCCTGTTTTTTTTCTCCCCCCTTAGCCCTGCAGCTTTTTATTTTTCAGATGCTGATCCAATTGTGTCATTAAACTGAACATTGAACCAGCTATTCCACAGACAGTGACTTCCAGGTGTGAAGGTACTGTGCCTTTAAGAGGCATTTGGTCTGTGCTGTTTCTCTCGCAGAGAGGTGTTGCCAGTGATGCCTGAATATCTGCTTCAGAAGCAGTGGAAAAACAGCTTTCAGGTCCATACGCTTTTTTTTAAAAATTAGTATGTTTTGCTTAAAGCCTGGACCCATCAAATCACCTCTGCAACGCAGTGCCTTACATTTACTTCTAATATGCTAAAAGGGTCTAGGCTATCTCCTCGATATTTTAAGGTGATTTGATCTGGTCCATAACAAAAGGATCCCAATCGTTTGCTATCTGAGCAGGTTCTTCCACGTCAATTTTGGTTCTTTTGTCATTTCCATTAAAGCGCTATCCTCTGGTAACAGTTTCTTTCAACTTACTCTGTGCAACCCGCTTATGATCCAGAACCCTTCATCAAATCTCCAATCATATTACAATGCAAACTGAGAAACCCGTACAAGTGCATGTCTTTGACAGCAACCATTATTTAAACAGAGGCACGGGGCAGCACAGTGGTTAGCACTGCTGCCTCACAGCGTCAGGGACCCGGGTTCGAATCCACCCTCGGGCGACTGTCTGTGTGGAGTTTGCACATTCTCCCGTGTCTGCGTGGGTTTCGTCCGGGTGCTCCAGTTTCCTCCCACAATCCAAAGATGTGCAGGCTAGGTGGATTGGCTATGCTAAATTTCCCCTAGTGCTCAGGGATGTCTAGATTAGGTGGGTTATAGGGGGATGGGTCTGGGTGGGATGCTTGGAGGGTCGGTGTGGACTAGGTGGGCTGAAGGGCCTGTTTCCACATTGTAGGGATTCTATGATTTGAAACGGTGCCTTCAGTGCAAGAAGTGCCCCAATGTATCCCAAAGGTATACAAACACAGAACAACAGCAGGCCACTCAGTCCATTCAGCCTGCTCTGCCATTCAATAAGATTGTGGATGATCGATTTTAATGTCGACTCTATGTTTCTACACATCCCTGATAATCTTTCTTCCCCTTGGTAACCAAGAATCTACCTTTGCCTTTAAAATATTTCAAGATTGTGCATCCACTGCCTTTTGAGAAAGGGAATTCCAAAGACTCTCAACCCTTAGGAAAAAGAATGTTTCCTCATCTTTGTCTTAAATGAGTGACCTCTTATGTTTAATCCATAACCTCTAGTGCTAGGTTCTCCCACAAGTACAAGCATGCTTTCGACATCCACCCAGTTAAGTTCCCTCAAGATCTTACACGTTTCAATTAAGTCACCCCTGACTCTTCTAAACTTCAGAGGATACCAGTCTAGCTTGTTTAGGCTTTCCTCAGGAGGCAACCATTCCTTCCAGCTATTAGTCAGCATAACTAAACCTCACTATAAACATACTCAAATATATTAATGGACTTAAATGTCCGAAAGGAGGGAAAGGAAGAGGACAGGAGATTTACAAACATTCCAAATG